AAATATATATATATATCAGTTCTTTTTATTTAGATAATAGCAATTTGTTGGTCAGAGCGCCCTCTAGTATTTGTGGGGAATCATGTTTATTTGGAATGCTCTGATTGGATGGAAGTTCGAGCCTAGCAAGGTGTGATAGAATTGGCTCAGATTCAAACATGAACCACTAATTTGACAGGGAAGTGATACTTATAATGCAGCAAGCTGTTTTAATTGCTGTTGTGGTCGAGTTTTTATATTTTCTTGTCAAATGCATTTATTGGTCCACTGAAAAATCAAAATAATGTTCCCTGTAACTTAGACTCTTGTTGATCAAGGCATTTTTAAAATCATGGGTGTTGACTCCCCTCAAGTTATGATCCGTTGTCCCCTATAAAATAATGATTGCATCTAATATTAAAATAAAGATGGCGGAGAATAGCGTTGATTCATCTTGTTCTACTCTGGATTACTTGGAGCCAATAAAGATCCTAGAAAGTTAGTATTTATATGCCTGTGTGTGTTTTTTCACTGTCTTTGACTTTCGCAGTATGTTTGTTGCTATTGACAACAATTCAGTCCTTTGCAAGGCTTCAGTCAATGTTTTTTTTTCACTATCTACCCATCTCCTCGTCGGGCACTATGTAGCTGGTGTGGTATATTTATCACAGACAGTAGGGCAATTGTCACATTTAGTGCTCCAAGAAAATATTCTATGTTCATGTGTATTTATATAAATAGATGCAGTTTCTTTGGCTTGAATAACATTCACTGGCTTCGTACATACAGGTATACTGGTTTACCTGTTTCTAGTTGAAATTTAGCCAATCTTATTAACCAAGACAGTTGGACATTTGCCACATGTCACAACACTCATTTCCAAGTGCCATAGCTTGAAACAAGTAGTCAAATCTGATATTGGCTGGAGCTTTTGTTTATATGGAAATGGACATGGTGAACAGCAAACTAGATGGTCAGAAAGTAATAAAAACAAGTCATTGTCAATGACACGTCCCCGTTCCGTTCATATTTGAGTGACATATACATTCAAAGCAGATCATGACCGAAATGCACCTGCATATGTACAACACATTGTGCTAAATCTGAACAAAATCCATCCATGCATGACTGAGATCCGGTTCTGGAATTGTGAAAATATGTGATTTTGATGCATTTTCGGCCTTAAAATGGCCATCATTCCGCTATTGTTAAGCAGATCATGAAACAAAT